GCCTTCCCAGAGTGATCAAGCTTTCTGCTCTTGGTTGATTTGAAAGGAGCCTATGACTGACTGATGGGGCAGTTCGGACCTTGTATAGGAATGCAGAACTGCAAGTAGCAAAAAATGGTGGGTGAACAGGCTGCTTAGGATTAGCAGACCACATAGTGGGAGAATTGAATGGAAAAAGTTGCAATCCAACCATGTGAAAGTCACAAGGAATTCAGGTACCAAGTGCCATGTATCCTGGACAATGATCTGTAAAACATTAGTAGTCCAGATGAACTGCTGCTATAATATAGTTAATTTTGGTGTCTATCTATTCCTCCCTCCGCCCCTCCTTCCCTTCTTTCTTCCATCTGTCACATCAATAAGTTGTTGTTGAAGCTTTTTTCTTTTTAAAAATGTATCTGTTCTTAGAAGAGTGCCTTCATTGATTCATTTTAAACATTTATTGAATGCTTATTGGGTGTCAGCCAGGCACAGGCTAATATTTTGGATTTTAGTGATGACTAGAAAGACTCTTGATTTCAAATAGTTCAAGGTCTAGTGGATAAGACAATTTTTCAAAGCAATACTGTAATTCAGGAAGGTAAGTTCTAGAAGTTACTAACGAAGTGCTAGGAGAACACAGATCAAAAGACACCCGTTGTTTTTTTAAGTCCTGAAACAAAGCAAGCCAAAAACATTTTTGGGGAGATGCCATTTTCTGATCTTTCCCTAAGTTTTCTCTTTAGGTTGAGGAAAATATTGCTTTCTGAGAAAAGGTATGTTGTTGGAACAGCCACATAAAGCTAAAAATAGTGGGAATTGAATATAAGAATGCCCGGAGGGAAGAGAGCCAAACTGTAGATTTTTGTTACTATATTTGACTTTAAACGTCTCCAAAAAAGGAAGAAAACAAAATTCTAATAGGTGATATTAAAAATCCAATTGATATTTGAAAAACAGCTGTCTTTTATGGTGTAAGGTTTACCTTCCTTAAAATAGCTCATTACATTTCATTTATTTTTCTGAGAATTCAGTATCAATTCCATTGGCTTAAGATCCTAGACATTATTAATTGGATAACTAAATTTAGTTTCGCAATCATAAAATTAAAATATCAGAACATTCCACCACAAATTATAGATGAACTTTCCTCCCAGTTTTAAGGAGGCCAGGTTTCCTTTCAGTTTGTAAATGGCCTCTTCATAATGCATTTCAGGTTTCAAAAGGGGAAGTGAGAATTGCCAACTGAAAATAACTGATGACCCATCAACATCTAGTGCTGCTCCCTTTGGAACTTACTGTGAGGAAATGAAAGAAAGAATGGCAGGGAAACACCTGTGCATCCATAGATGTTCTAGTGATAAAATGAAGTGATTAAGAAAAAGTTTCATCTATGCCTTTATCCTTTAATTTTCACCATAACTAACACTGACATCACTCTAGCTCCTAATGTCCAAATGTATATTCAGGCTAATCCAAAATGGATGCCATCTGACATCCAAAAATGGATGTCAAAACAGTATGCTTTTTTATAAAGATTTATTTATTTATACATACAAGAACTGGGGTACAGACCAGAGTTGTGGGGGGTTGAGAGGATTCACCAGAGACAAAGTGTGGAACAGAACAGGCAGATCTACTGAAATACACTGCTTAGGGGAGCAGCGGGTGAGTCAGGAGAGGTCTGCTGCACCATATGGGTAGCTCCCTGTCTGGGATCGAACTTGTGCTGCAGTGGCTGTGGATAGCTTCATAGGTTGCATCTTAACCCCTTGCGCCACCAGGGAGGCCCCCAAAACCGTACTCTTAACTTTCTCTTTTGGATCGCCTCTGAGCTCCAAGATGCATTTTCTTTGCTCTGCAAACAAATAGATTCTTAGGGTGGAAGGAAATGAAGAATGAAAGGCTACCCAGTAGTTCAAAATAATGTTTTGTGTATGAACTTTTTATCTATATCACTGACAGAGGTACTGTTCAGTCATTCAGCTCAGTCATTCAGGTCTTTTTTCATTCTCTTAGACCTTCTCCATAACACCTGCCCACTAACATGGGCTATACTATTTTTTTTTCAAACTACGTTTACATTTTGGATGAGTTTCAAAGTTGATAAATGTCATCAGACAAGATTGCTACTGATAAAGAACCAAGTGAGAAACATTTGGGGATAAGGAAAATAACATACTTTAAAACCTGGGCTTTAAAGGAGGTGAATCAGGTCCTTGAGTGAGTCATGCATTCATTCATTCTATTATTTATCCAGAAAGCATTATATTTATAGTAATACACTGCATGCTCACTATTAGGCTTATTTTTAAAATACTGATAAATTGGATCTAGATCTAATGTCTGGCACATAATAAGTACTCAATATATGTTGAATTTGAATTGTATTAAATAAATACCTTTGAGAAGTGTCAGTCTGGTATCTAAAAATTTTTAAGTTACATAGGAATAAATGTCTGTATCTTCAAAACTTCCCTGTCATATGTTTATCACTTTCTTATTATCCTTTGTTGTATATTTTCTATATTCATTTATTTACTTTGTATACTTCTGAATATAGAAAGATTTGTGGTTCAAATCTTTGTTTTACTCTTTGGGTATTATAGTGCATGGTATTTGAAAATTGCAAATTCCATTCTTTGTTCTCCATAGACTCACAGGGCAAAGTCTGGGCTCCCTTGCTTGCAGGCTGTTCTTCTGCCTGAAATTCATAGACATTGGTTCATGGATTCTGTCCCCAACCTGACATCACTATCTCTCATAGGAAACAGCTGGTGAGCAGAAGGTCCTGATATCGTGCTGAAGTTTGTTTTGTTTTATACAGTTTCCTTGCAGTAATCTCCAATACTTAACAGTGTTACAGGCCTCTTTGCAAGACCCTCCTTGGGCTTCTATTTCAGACTTACTATATAGCTAGTCTTGTTATGATGAGAGATTCCAGTTCTCTGGCTGTATTTTGCTTGAATCATGAAATTCCTTCCAAACATTTCTTGTGGAAAAACCAATAACTGGTGTCAAAAATTGTGGGGAAAGGGCAGGTTCATTTATTTCTTCTCTTTCTGTCTTGCTACGGCTTTCTTAAATCATTAGGTACAAATATTTCCATCAGACTGTTTTGATGCAAATAGAATTTCTTAAAAGAATAAAAGGAAAATTTCAGTTTCTAAAATTTGACTCAGCTCAATTGGATCAACATATTGGAAGAAAGAAAGATTTAAATATAGTAGCACAGGACATCTCTCTGTAAAATATAAGTAACTTTGAAAGTACTGAGAATTAGCAACCATTTTTAAAGATTAATATCAAATACATATATGCAATAGCAAAGAGATATGAAGATTTTATAAATTGATAGATTGTTTATAATTAATAATTTTGAAAAAATAGAGGTAGAGTTAAATTATGTTAAAGACACTTCCAAGCAAGATCTATTGAAAGAAAAATAAAGCTCTCTCAATATCTTCACAACCACCTTCTCTCCAAATACCTCTACAGAAAAGTTTCCCCAGTGAGGCCTGCAAAGACATTAACCTCCCCACCTCCATATCCTATATTCTAGTCTCTATCATATTGTTTCATTTTATCTTTTCAGTAAAATCATTTATTTTTTCTGTGTAGTGTTTCTTGTCTGTGCTCACTAACCCTGAGACAGAATATGAACTCATTGAGAAGGTTATTTTTCTCTCACAACTATATTGACAATGCCTGATACCTAGTAGGTAGAAATAATTATTTCAATACGGATTAACATGCTTCTCAAACATGGCAAGTAGTTTTGTCATACACATACAGAAAAGGGTAGAAAAACTTGGACTAAATACAAGCATTAAGATACAGTTCTTTATTCTTTTGTTTTGGTGTAGTAGAAAAAGCAGTAGACTCAGAATATGTATAACTTCATTCACTCATTCACTTGTGAAACATACATTGAGCACAGTCATATGCAGACATTCCTCTCTTTCATTTACTAATTGTATCACGTTAGGCAAGTTAAATTTGCTTGAACATTTTTCCTTTGTCCATGAAGTCTAAGTGAAATATTTTATGTGTAGGTGCTTTGAAAATTGTGAGGTCCTCTACAGTAATAAGATATTAATATGATAATGTCATTATCACTAGGGATGATCATATTCAGATAAATGAGGGTCAAAAAATAAGTATATTCATTGATGTGTTTTCAGATCTTCTACCAGGTCACATATGTAATCAAGCAAGTGGAGGCTAGAGATAAATTCCTATGCCATGCTTGCATAGGGTTTGAAAGAATAAATCATATAATGTGTGATGAATAACAATGCACTTACCTATTCATTTTTTATTCAATTATTTTTACAAACATTTATCATACCAAAACTACACGCATTGTGCTAGATACCACATGTGAACTGAGTTCTTTAGGGAAGACAATTTAGGGATAAATCTGTGTTATTCCAGATTAAAAGTCTCTATTAAGCAGATGATTACAATTATTTTAACATGAACAAAGTCTGAATTAGTCTTGTTTCTACTTTTGATACAATGTATTGGCATCAAGTAATGATAATTTTAAGTAACATTTTTAGAGCACTCAATCTGTCCAGTAAAGAGCAATTACTGCATTATCAATGCAACACTTGCAACAAATCTAAGGGAGAAATATTCTTATTATATAGACTGGTGACAATATTTCTGAGAACACACTCAACAACTACTTTGTCCTATCTCAACTTTCTATGAATGCCAACAATTTCCATGTTATATAAACATCAGTAGCTCAGTCATGTGATGTGTTAGTGGTAATTACTCTTCTGATTGAGCCCAGGCCCTAACTTGTGTGTATAAATCACTAAACAACACAGGAACAAGAATCCTGTAGGCACAAGCAACTTTCCATGTTGTTTTTCTCATTTACCACACTTTGGCAGCATGGAAAAATAGATCCATTATACTTAGAAAATACAGTAATACCTCCCCAAAGCTGGGAAATGTTTCAAAGCACGTCAAGCCAAAGCCTGCGGCAAACACTTTGACAACACACGACTGCAGTTGTCCTGACTCGTCTGCCTCTGGTGTGCTCACCAAGCATGATGTGGAGCATGATGCAACATATTTTGGGATTCCAAGTGGCATGGGTCTTCCTCATCACTTATTCCACAAGTGCAGATGCAACTGTCCTTTAAAAAATAGCAAAGAGTCCTAGTTCAAATGAGAGAACCACTCCAAGAGGGAAATTATTCCTAACTCAATGTGAAAACATCAAAGATGATGTTTTTTTATTTATGACAGTAGGGTTTTATTGAAATCTATGACTGAGGTTAGGACAGATGACAGTCACATAGAAGTCTGACTTTGCTACAACCAGGACATATTAAGAGGAATGCTGCCCACCAAGTATCTCATTGTACGCCTGCTCCAGGGGTTGGTTGTGCAAACTGGAGGACCAGGTCTGTACTTGTTACAAGCCCACTACAAAGTGAAGTGGGTTCAGAATTTACCTAATTATACTTAGTTTAACAATCTCCTGAGATCTGCTCATGTAATTGGTAAGAAACCCAAAAGTAATCCATGTAGAAATGCTGGATGAGATGGTTTGGCATTCCTACTCTTATGATCAGATCTTCCTTATTTTCTACACAGAGTTCCTTGCCTCATATATTCCATGCATTGCATTTAGTATATATGTACATTCAATCCATGTTCTCCACACAGCCAGAACAACGCATCCAGGTAGGTTTAGATTTGGAAGGGGAACATGACTGTCACTGTCTTATTCTGCTTTCTCAACATGCTTTCAGCATGTACTGAAATGCTTCCCTTGTTGTAGAAATGTCCAAAGAACTGTAAATCACAGATTCTTCACTGTTGTCCCATACTGTTATACATAAGGCATCTGTGACCTTGGTTATGTCTCTTTAGTTCCTCAGTTAATGAATGAGAGTTTTGAAGTTTCCTTCTAAATCTAAATGTCTCTGTTTTCTTTGAAATTGATGTTACTTTACTTCCACAGATACTTCCTTGCCTTTAGCTATTTGCTCACAACTTTTATCTCTTGAACTCAATCCAAACACTGCAATAAGTCTTCTTTCAAATCAACCATTCTCTTGTATGAAGACTTTATTCTTCAGCAAAGACATATCATATATTTTCCAAGTTATTGAATCTTTGGAAACAAAGGAGGTTTGGGGGATATCAATTACTTGTAGAGTTTTTATTGAAGGGAGGAGAATGACTGTTGTAGCTATTTGAGGCAGACTTTGCTTAGAGAAGCAGAAATTCAATTTCCCTGTGCCTCCTGGGGATCCTATGAGAATGAGGGAACCTATGAAAATGGAAACCTTAAGCAGAGATCAGCAAACCCTGTATGAGATTCTATCCCAACATTTTTCCTGATATTAATATTTTACACTATTTTTTGATACATTTCATATGATAATTTCATATTATTATTTTATGGTCTCAGTGATGATTCTTTATTCCAACTGACCAAGTTATGTTATAAAAATTCATTATTAATCAGTAACTCAAAACTAAAAATTCACATATACAAAGGATGATAAGGCACACTGAAGACCAACCTACAGTTCTGGAAGACAAAGTAGAGTGTCACACTATTAGATAGAGTGAAACAAATATTTAGTTACCTAAATGGTTCTTTAAAAGCATTTGTTTCAGGGCCTCCCCTGGTGGCCACAGGTGGTTGAGCGCCCTGCTGTGAAGCTGTCCGCAGCCTCTGCAGCGCTGGTTTGATCCTGGCTGGCCAGACACCTCTCCTGCCTCGCCCGCTGCTCCCCTCAGCAGTGTATTTCAGTCCATCTGCCTGTTCTGCTCCTCACTCTCTCTGGTGAATCCTCTCACCCTCCCGCGTGTCTGACCTGTATCCCTGTTCTTGTGTGTATGAATAAATAAATCTTAAAAAAAAGAAAAATGTTTGTTTCATTAGAAAAAGAGACACATGGCAGACTGGGCATGCAGGGGAGCACGTTCCCGCATCGCCATTTTGCAGCAGGGACCTTTCTTTGCTGGAGACTGTGTGAACCCAGCAGAAGGCTCATCGAGGAGACAGAGGTAAGCTGGGAGGCTTGCCCATGCCGGGCGCCTTCTAGCCTGCAGTTCCAGCCCAGAGGGGAGCAGCACCCACCACTGGGCAGACCGGGCGTGCAGGGGAGCGTGTTCCCACATCGCCATTTTGCAGCAGGGACCTTTCTTTGCTGGAGACTTGTGAACCCAGCAGAAGTTCCCCAGAGGAGCCAGTGGTGAGCTGGGAAGGTCGCCCAAGATGCCGGCCAGTACCAGCAACACAGTGTCACAAGGAATACGGCAAATTAGAAAACAGGCAGTAGGGAGTAGAAAAACCACATGCAACCCAGCAACTCCTCAGCAAAAAAGCACACCGCAAAAAGAAAACCATCTACCAGATTGCAATAACAGTAACTTGGAAGAACTTCTGAGCCTTCCAGATAGAGAATTTAAAATTGCTGTGATTAAAAAACTGACAGAAGTCATAAAGGAAAACAATGATAAGGGGAAAATAATGACCAGAAGAATGAAATTGAGTCCCTAAAGAGGGAAGTAAAAGAAATGCAGGAGATCAAAGAATTAATGGAGACACTAATGAACTCTGGGAAAAGCAATGAAAGCAGAATAGATGAAATGGAAGAACGAATAAGTACTCTTGAAGACACAGAAATAAAAAGAACTAAAACAGAAAAGGAAGGAGAAGTACGAAGGAAAAAGACCGAAGAAAGACTTCGGGTACTATCTGACTCCATGAGGAAAGGAAATATAAGAGTTATAGGAATCCCAGAAGGAGAGGAGAGAGATGTAGGAACAGAGAAAATATTCATGGATGTAATTGAAGAGAACTTCCCAAACGCGAAGAAGGAGCTGAAAATTGATATACAAGAAGCAAGAAGAACACCAAACTTTCATGACGAAAGGAAAAATACAGCAAGACACATAATAGTAAAGCTCCCAAGAATCCAAGACAAGGAAAAAATAATGAAACTAACAAGAGGGAAGAAACAGATAACATTCAAAGGGAAACCAATCAGACTGACATCAGACTTCTCTGAAGAAACACTATGGGCAAGGAGAGAGTGGAGGGACATAGTCAACAGACTCCAAGAAAACAGATGCCAACCAAGAATACTCTATCCCACAAAGCTCTCCTTCCTCTTTGAAGAAAGAATAAGGACCTTCCCAGACAAAGAGAAACTCTGGAATTTTATTACGACTAAACCCCCACTCCAAAAAATACTACAAGGAGTCCTAAAGCCAGAACCTCAGAGGGACGAATAACAACAAAAGAAGGCCAAAGAAAGTTATTAAAAGAATAAATAAATAAAATCAAAGGAAAGACAAACACAATGGCAAATACAGATGCTAACATATCAATACTAACTCTAAATGTAAATGGACTAAACTCTTCAATAAAAAGACACAGAGTTGCAGGCTGGATTAAGAAACAAAACCCAACCTTTTGCTGTCTCCAGGAAACACATTTAGCTGCAAAAGATAAAAATAGACTCAAAGTTAAAGGATGGAAAACAATTCTACAAGCAAATGGACCAAAAAAGAAGGCAGGAACAGCTATACTCATATCAGATAAAACAGATTTCAAACTTAAAAAGATAAAAAGAGACCCCAGTGGTCATTACATTATGATCAAGGGGACAATACTTCAAGAAGAAATAACACTCATTAACATATATTCACCAAACGAAGGAGCACCAAAATATATCAGACAACTATTGGCATCTCTGAAAACAGACATCAGAGAAAACACATACGTAGTGGGGGACTTCAACACACCACTATCAACAATGGATAGATCAACAAGACAAAAAATAAGTAAAGACACTAAAGCTCTAAATAAGGATCTAGAGTGCTTGGGCTTAACAGACATATATAGAACACTAAACCCAAAAAAATCTGAGTATACATTTTTCTCAAGTGCACACGGATCGTTCTCTAGGATCGATCATATACTGGGGCACAAGACAAACATCAACAGATACACCAAGATTGAAATCATACCAACCATCTTTTCTGACCATGAAGGCATCAAACTATAAATAAACCATAAAAAGAAGGCAAGGTACTCTCCTACCTCGTGGAGATTGAAACCCACACTACTGGAAGTCCACTGGACTAACGAGGAGATAAAAGAAGAAATTAAAAAATTCTTTGAATTGAATGACAAGGAGGACACCAATTTCCTAAATGTATGGGATGCAGCAAAAGCAGTAATAAGAGGAAAATATATAGCAATAGATGCTCACATCAAGAAACAAGAAAGAACTCAAAGAAACAACCTAATCTCGAAGCTCAAAGATCTAGAAAAAGAACAACAAAAAAAACCCAAAACCAGTAGAAGAAAAGAAATAATAAAAACCAAAGCAGAAATAAATGAAATTGAAACTAAAAAAACAATCCAAAAGATCAATGAAACCAAGAGCTGGTTCTTTGAAAAAATAAATAAAATAGATAAACCCCTAGCCAGGCTCACAAGGGCAAAAAGGGAGAAAGCACAATTAAATAGGATAATCAATGAAAGAGTAGAAATCACAACGGACACAGCAGAAATCAAAAGAATAATTAATAACTACTATGAACAGTTATATGGAAACAAGTTCAACAATCTAGAGGAGATGGACAAATTCCTACAACTCTACAATCACCCAAAGCTAGATAAAGAAGAAATAGAACACCTAAACAGACCAATTACAATTAGCGAAATTGAAATGGTAATCAAAAACCTCCCCAAAAACAAAAGCCCAGGACATGATGGATTTACAAATGAATTCTACCAAACATTCAGAGACGAATTGGTGCCTATCCTTCACAAACTCTTCCAAAAAATTGAGAAGGAAGGTATAATACCTAACACGTTCTATGAAGCCAACATTACACTAATACCAAAACCGAACAAGGACAACACAAAAAAAGAAAACTATAGGCCAATCTCCCTAATGAACACTGATGCAAAAATCCTCAATAAAATTTTAGTATCAGAATCCAACAGTGTATCCATAAGGTAATTCACCATGACCAAGTAGGATTCATTCCAGGGACACAAGGATGGTTCAACATCCGAAAATCAATCAACGTTATCCAACACATCAACAAAAAGAAATATAAAAACCATATGATAATATCAATAGATGCCGAGAAAGCTTTCGACAAAGTGCAACACCCATTCATGATAAAAGCCCTTGAAATTCTTGGGATACAAGGAACATACCGCAACATCATAAAGGCCATATACGACAAGCCAACAGCCAGTATCATTCTCAATGGTGAAAGCTGAAAGCATTTCCATTAAGATCTGGAACAAGACAAGGATGTCCACTCTCACCACTGCTTTTCAATATAATACTGGAAGTCCTAGCCAGAGCAATAAGACAAGAGAAAGACATACAAGGAATCCAAACAGGAAAAGAAGAAGTCAAACTATCACTATTTGCAGATGATATGATAATATACATAGAGAACCCCAAAAACTCCATAGAAAAACTAATTGAACTCATCAATCAGTTCAGCAAAGTGGCAGGATACAAAATCAACATGCAAAAGTCAGAAGCTTTCCTATACACTAACAATATATCTGAAGAAGAAGAAATGAAAAAAACCATCCCCTTTATTATCGAAACAAAAAAAATCAAATACTTGGGAATAAATCTAATCCTTTACAAAGAAAACTATAAAACACTGTTAAAAGAAATAGAAGAAGATACAAAGAAATGGAAAGACATCCCCTGCTCATGGATTGGAAGAATAAACATTATTAAAATGGCCATCCTACCAAAAGCAATATACCGATTCAATGCTATTCCAATAAAAATTTCAATGTTATTCTTCAAAGAAATAGAACAATTATTGATGAAATTCATATGGAATCACCAAAAACCCCGAATAGCCAAAGCTCTCCTGAAAAAAAAAGAAGGGAATGGAGGCATCACACTCCCAGATTTCAGGCTATACTACAAAGCCATAATCATCAAAACTGCATGGTATTGGAACAAGAACAGACACACAGACCAATGGAATCGAATAGAAAATCCAGAAATAAACCCACAGGTTTATGGTCAACTAATATTTGACAAAGGAGCAAAGAATATGCATTGGAGCAAAGAAAGTCTGTTCAATAAATGGTGCTGGGAAAACTGGGCCGCTACATGCAAAAGAATGAAGCTTGACTACTACCTCACACCATACACAAAAACCAACTCAAAATGGATTAAAGAACTAGACATAAAACCTGAAACCATAAAATACATAGAAGGAAATATAGGCGAAACACTACGTGATTTGCACATCAAAGACATCTTTACAGACACATCACCCAAAGCAGTGATAGTGAAGGCAAAGATAAACAGCTAGGACTACATCAAATTAAAGAGCTTCTGCACAGCAAAAGAGACAATAACAAAAACAAAGAGAAACCCCACCAACTGGGAGAACATTTTTGCACACAACTCTAATGATAAAGTATTGATCACAAAAATCTGCAAAGAGCTGATGAGACTCAACAACAACAAAGAAAATAATCCAGTCAGAAAATGGGCAGAAGAGCTAAAAAGAAACTTCTCTGAAGAGGAAATGCAAATGGCCAACAGGCATATGAAAAAATGTTCAACATCACTTGTAATCAGGGAAATGCAATTCAAAACTACCATGAGATACCATCTTACACCAGTGAGAATGGCACATATTAAAAAAAACTAGCAACAACAAATGTTGGCGAGGGTGTGGAGAAAAAGGAACTCTCCTGCACTGTTGGTGGGAGTGCAAACTGGTCCAACCACTATGGAGAGCTGTGTGGAGATTTCTGGACCTACTAAACATAGAGCTTCCATATGATCCAGCAATTCCACTCCTAGGTATTTACCCAAAGGACACAGAAACATCAATTCCAAAGAGCACCTGCACCCCTATGTTTATAGCAGCACTATTTACAATAGCTAAGCTTTGGAAACAGCCCAAATGCCCCAAAATAGATGACTGGATCAAGAAGATGTGGTACATATATACCATGGAATATTACTCAGCATTCAAAAAAGATAAACACATGCAATTTGCAGCAACATGGATGGCGCTGGAAGGGATCATGCTCAGCGAAATAAGCCAGAAAGAAAAAGAAAAATACTGGATGGTCTCACTCATAGCAGGAATCTAGAAAACTTAAATAAGGGACCAGGAAAATGAATAACTATAAGAAAGTGAAAATCAAAATCAACAAAAATCTATGAACCAGAGACGCTTTTGGGGGGGTGGGTGGAGGGAGGGGAGGGATTGGGGTCAAAATGGGGGGGTTGAAATTGTATGGGGAATATAAAATAAAATTTATTATAAAAAAATTTAAAAAATGACTTTCTGAATGTTAGGGTTTTTAACTCAGGCAATGTGATACTCAATAAAGGTACAGAAATTAGATCTCCAATTCTGAAGAAAAAAAAAATGAGAGACATGGTTTAGTCATAAAAGCTGTCAGTACTTCAATGATAAAGAATTTTCAAACTTCTGAAAAAAAAAAAAAAGAAAAGAAAAAGAGACACATGAAGTCTTTGGGAATATTTGTGGGTAAAAGAATCAAAAACCTCTTTCAAAAGGATTTTAGACTTTGCCACCAGGTGGCATGAAGAGTCCAATCTAGCTTGGTTGTCTCCTAAGCAAGGAGAGGCTGACGGAAGGTGAGAAGTGGAAGGGACCGCATCAGAGGAGGCCAAGCCAATGCAAGAGCAGAAGTGGAAAGTCTGTGCATCAAGAAACTTGGTATAAACCTGTAGTTTTCTTCAGACATTGAGTTGTCCCTCCTCTTGTGACAGCATCTCCCACATCTCCTACTTAGCTACATGAATCCTCCTTTGCTTTCCAAAACCTCCAAAGAGATGATTTTTGCACTTAACAATAACCACACAATACTACAACCCACCTCATGAAGCTTTTCTTCCTCAGCCCTAACAGAGTTAAAAGCCCGTGAATATTTGCACGGTCTAAACTTCTCAAGGACTCGGATGGCTAAACCACCGCACATGCCAGCTATCACTGAGAAGTGAGCACATTGAATTCACTTGCTGCCTTTCTTAACTAGAGAATTGTAAGTGTCTGAAAAAAGTAGTTTTATTGAAAAGATATTCCACAAGCTTCAGCTTGAAGAAGTTGGAAGAGCATCCATGTAAGTATTTCCACATTTTCCATCTGAGCTGTCAGCGCGTGCTGCCGGAGCTGGCCAACAGGGGAGGGAATCAATCTGGAAAATCCCCTGCAGGGGATTAATTTTCCTTTTCCCAGAGAAAGGTCTGGGCATGAGAAGAACATCCTGCTGTTGTTACTGAGAATCACATTCTTCGGGATAGTTGGTTTTTCTTTCTCTGCTGATAGGTAGAGCAGAGATTTAGCAACCCCAAAAAGCACTTAGAAAACTTAATTTTCCTGGTAAACATGACTCACTCTCAGGGCAAATTTTCCTCTGTAAAGTTATCATTAATGAGGGATGCTCCTCAAGCAGTAATTTTAAATATACCTTTTGAGAAGAAGACCTGCTTAACAGAGATGTAGCTACATTCAGTTGGAAGATAGTTATTCATTGGTGACTAGTTATTCATCTTCAGTGCTGATGCATTGGGTTGTCATGGTCAATACTGTAGTTCTTGTTCCACAGGGCTTTCTTCTCTGACAACCCTGGGAGGTACAACATGACAAGCATGCAAAGAACAGTAGAAAAAAAGATTCTCTGTCATTTCAAAGAGAAGGACCATTGCATGTGGAAAGGGGCTTTGCATGAAATGGAATTGCTGATGGCCGATGGATACTGGCACCTCTAGTGACTCAATTTAATGCTGAGGATCCACAACTCCAGGTCTGCAGTGGTGATAAAAATCAAAGTAAATATTCACTGAGTGCTTAATATTGCTAGACTTGAGCTCTATATTTAACCTGTGTAATGGCCCCATGAGTCAGGTACCTGACTATTTTATAGGTAATACCTATTTAATAGGTAATACTTCTATTTTATAGGTAATACATAATATAGGTAATATGGCCCAGAAAGGTCAAGCAACTTACCTAAAGCCACACAGTTGCAAAGTGGGTGAGAATGGATTTGCAAGCAGTCAGTTACCACTACAGTGGACCAGTTCTTTCAATGCTGCAGAGGAACATAATCACATAGGCATAAAATAAGTGAGCACATTACTTCAGCACCTATAATAGGAACTCATCTACTTGGCAACCTTATGTATTTGGAGTATTATTACACACAAGGAATAAAAAATAAAGAATAAAGGAAACTCCACACCAATTCAAGGCACCAAGGCACAGATACAGTATTCTTGGGCAACCATATTTGGTCTTCACTTTAACTGTGCTTACTGTCACTGACATACATTTCATATATCAGTTATTGCTTCACACAACTTATTGTTACTGTAGGTGTAAATGGTTTCCAAATTCAAAGCATTGCAGATTTGCAGTCATTGGCATTTATATCCATGGTAGTACTAAGTAGCAGTAGTATTAAGCAGCAGTAATACTAAGTAGCAGTAGTACTAAGTAGCGGGGGCAGCAGCAGCAGAAGTAGTAGTAGTAGTTGTAGTAGTGAGTACACAAGAAGTGATGGGAAAACACTAAAGGAAAAAAAAAATACCACATTGAAAGTGTTTGTTTAGGGTCATTGAATGCAAATTTAATCAACTTTGCAACAGTGCTCACTAGGTAATGTTCCTACCAATGCTACTAAGTGATAAAGATGTCAAATAATATTTGACTATTGTTTAACAAGAAAATATAAAATGCTATTTGGATGAACTTCTGTTCAAATTAATTACTTTTGAAACAGACAAATGACATTAATTAAGGGCATCAACAAAATATTAGACTCCCAAGTCATCTATCCAGAGAAACACTGGCTGGTGGGCCAGGTGGTTGAGCATGGCTGTGTTTTCTGCCTTTGTCCTGAGCACCGTGACTTTGTCGGTTGAGTTGATGCCACTGGGCATGCAGTGCCAAGGCACAGGGTGAGGCTGCCAGAAGGAAGGAACTCTTCAGGGGGAGGAGACCTTATGGAGAAGGGAGGGCCAATGGGAATTGGTGTTTCTGTCTGCAGAACTTCAAAGTATCCTATTTTTACCATCATAGATAGAAAAAATGATTCTCATATGAACAAACAAAGATGGATGATTTTTTTTCTAATTAAGGGCTTACGGTCTAGGTCTGTCTTGCCAAAACCTGATGAAGTTTTCACTAAAATGTTATTTTAATAATGGGTTAGAGTTTTTCCTTCATAGCTTTGAAAAAACCTGTCAGTGTAGAACAAACAGTTTTAATCTACTGTTGCATAGGAAACTAAGATATGACAAACATCCCTTCAGCATTTTGCTTTATATCACATACTGACCCTGAACTCCCAGGGTTTGGGAAAATGAGTATTTCTTTACAAATTACATCTATTGCATCAAAATATTAGTCAAAAATCTGTTTTGTTTTCCTCTGCCTTTTTTCCTTCATAACTCTCCAGCTTAAAAAAAGCACAGCAGTAAATGATGTCACCCTTGGGACTTACATTATAAAATTGGAACTAGAAGGAAATGTCTTATTAATATGTTTTTTATATGACAGACAGAAGGTGTTGCTGGTCAATGGAATATTCATTATTTAATATTATATTAATGTTAAAATGCTTAGGATGTCTTTTATTTCTGGAGAAGAAAAAATGTCAGCAGACACTAAGCACCTACTATGGATCCTACAGGAAATCTCCCCCATACCATGCATGACAATATACTATTGAGGAAAAGAGAACAGCTGTAGCTTCTCAAAGAACTCAGACTCTAATTGGGAGCAGGCATCTGTAAGTCTGCCTAAAACACAATATGTGCAAACAGTTACACATACACAAGTGCCAGGAAGGAGGAGAGCAGGTGCTCGAAGGGGAAGGCAGGATGTGGGCAGGTGGGGAGAGAAAGAGGCATTGGTACAAGAGAGTGTTATGGAAGGAGAGATCTCCAGTTCTGGAATCAGCCAACAGACCTGGATTGCAAACCAAGCTCAAATGCTTAATAGTTAGTGAACATTGGCCAATGTATTTCTCTTCTTTGTGCCTTTTCTGGAAAGTGAGAATAATAAAGGACTCTTCCTTCCACCTTGGATTGTTTTGAGAATTAAATACAAACATGTGGAAAATGTCAGCTCACGGCAGCACACCATTTCCCTTAATAAATGTTAGTTAAAAAAACAAAACAAAGAAAAAACACAAGGGGCTACTCTTATAGATGAAAAGGCACTTGAGTTTTAGCAGAGGTTGGACTAGGATGGAAATATTTCTGATAGAAGAAAGTGATATAGAAAATCACATGGGTGGAATTGTTCAGGGAAAACTCAAGGGTGTGTAACAACTGAAGGATAGGATGCATGAGGCAAAGGGTAGTAGAGGAGGGGTGAGTTAATACTACAAGTGAAAGTAAATATTGACACATTGCCATCCCTGTTCACAATAAGGGGGAATGCCAGGTAAAACACTTAAATGTGCCTGATTATATGCCTGAGTACCTAGCAGTGTCTGGACATTAAAAAGATGCTTATATTAGATACCAATTAACTTTATTGAAATATGGCAGTTATATCTCTCAGGCTGCATCTTATCAGAACTATCACCACTCTCAATTAAATCCTCTATACACGGGATAGAGTCTACACACAGCTCTCTCCTGTCCCATTGGCTACTCTGTCTCTGCTGCCATCCACTAGTTGTCTGGCTTTCCTACTTTATTTCCCCTCTATAAACTGAAATATCATTTCTTTCAACATCACCTGCAGTCTTTTATAATGCCCAGCCAACTTGTAGAAGATGTAATTTAATAAAACAAAAGATTAGAGGATCCTGAGGCCAATGAAGTATATGAAGTTGCTTGGTAAATTTTTGTTGTCTAGATGACCCAGCCTGTGGTATTCTATTATTCATTTTCCAAGCATATCATTCCAACCTCTGCTTCTGCCTCTCTCCTTACTCTATGACTTTCACCCTTTTGCCTCCCTTTTAAAAGGATGCTTGTGATTACATTGGGTCTACCAGCATAATCTTTCATATCAAATTCCTTAACATTCATGTACAGATAGTCCTTTTTTGCCTTAAAAGGTAATATATTCACCAGTCCTGGGAATTGTGACATGGTCATCTCTGGAGGGCATTATGCCATCAACCACAGTGTCTTTGATGAAACACTTCTGGTTAGGATTATGTAGGCCAATACTACATTGATAGAAACCATGAGGAAGCTTCAGCTTCCCAGAGTCAAAACTTTCAATGAGCAGCAACTATGTGCCAAGCTATCTATGATATGTTGGGAATGTTAAACAATAGCAAAAACAATAACAATGAACACCACAGCTGCCAATATGTGAGGTACTTTTATGTGTCAAATAGTTGAGATGAACCATCTCTGAATTTCACAAGAATCTTAGAAGATTTTGTCTTCATTTTATAGTTGCAGAAATTAAGGTTTAAAGTGGTTTAAACAGCAAGGGTTGGAATTTGAACATTGGTTGGTTTTCTTACTCCAAAATATGCATTTCAAACTGAAATACACTGCATAGCCCCTTAACCTTTCCCTCATGATATTTGAGGGCTTTCCTCACATTGATGTCAATAAAAAACTACCTTTATTCATTCATTCAGCAACTCACTGTGTTGAGAGAGGTAGGTTCAACAGGTCTGACTCCCTGTCTTAGGAGAGTTATAATCTAGTCTGCACTGGATGTGAATTTAATCATACCAGTATATTTCACTTGTCTATTTCCTTCTATTTAATTTACTAGAAGACTATATTATAAATATTTTTAAATTTTTTTGGGAATATTTGATCTTTTGTTCTAAAGGAAAAAACAAGTTTCCTAATTGTTAGTGGGTCAGACTCTGAGTATACCATGGAATGAAATCTATTGCTTAAATAATATTTGAGGTCAGGGAGTGGTTTCCTTAGAAGAAGAGTCAGGAGCAAATTCAGGAAGCGCATGATGTCCTGAGTGAACTTCATCCCTGATGACTTTGCAGACTTCCCTCTCCACTTCATCTCCATGCAAGAGATCTCAGGAACTAAGGATTACAATTCACATCTTGCCATGAACCTGACTTCCTGAATAGGGGACCACTGGAAGTTTGGGGGCAGAGTCCAGCAGCCATACTTGGCTTATAACTGAACACATGTTCTTGATATCTTGCTTTCCTGGCTTTGACTTGCACCCTGGTATTGATTGCTTGGATAATACATGTGAAGAAGAGACACAGAGAGACACTTGGAAGAAATACTTGCAAGAGATTCATGAGTGAAAGACACATGGGGAGTCTGCTCCTGGTTCTCGGCATAGACATGGTAGCTATTATCTTGACTGAATGTTGGATTATGCGGTATGTTTTGAACGTTGAGTCTCTTCTTCTGTTCTCTGGGAGCTCTCTGTGAACTACCTAACTCCTTTCTTGTGGATATTTGACAAAGGGTGCCTTAGACTTGTGATAAGCTTCTGGATTTTAGTAGCCCTGCTGCAGGCAAAGTCTGTTGGACCACTCATTTTCACATGATGGGATGGGTAATTTGGGGGTTTTACTAGGAATAGCCTTGCTTCTCTCTAAATGAATACCAATTCTCTTAAAAATTAATCATAATAAAAGTATAATTCTTTTGCCTCTGGGCACATGAACAGTCAAATCTTTTTTAGAACACGCACCTTAGAGTTTGGGGTCTATGAGTACCCCTAAGTCATACACTAACAAATATGAGAAGAGTGAGGTGAGGGGAAATTTCCTTTTGAAATAAAAAGAGCTGTTCCTGACAGATGAGATTGGGATTGCTCGGCAAGATGTGTCTGTGCTAAAACATTAGAAACCTATCAAAAGGATGTCTGACCCAATGGATAGTCTAAGATATGTAAAGCTATCTGTAAAGAAAATAAATTGATATTAATTAAGGATCTGGTATGTGCTCAGAATAATCCTAGGCATTCTGATACCTACTTAAGCACATAATTCTGTACCCTTTCTTTCATATTTGAAGGAAGAAAATTAGTTGTGGTAATGCACCAAACTACAGTTATACTTCAACTGGAATTTTACTTCTTGCTTATGCTTAAAAGTTGAGCCTAAATCATATATGAAGT